GGGCCCCGCCCCTGCCGCTGGGCCCCGCCCCTGCCGCTGGGCCTGCCTGGCCACGCCCCTTCCCTCCAGCCTGACCTCCGGCCACGCCCCCTCCGGCCTGCCCCCCTCCCCAGGAGACGGTGTTCCGGGAGATGTGCGAGGGGCTGCTGGAGGAGTCGGACGGGGAGGAGGAGGAGGGGGACGGCCACCCCAGAGCTCCCGACGACGATGATGACGGGGTCGAAGCCCGCCGCACCACAGCCACCGCCACTGCGGAGAAGAAGACGGAGCAGCAGCGGCGTCGTGAGAAGGCCGCCCGCAGGAAGGTGAGCCCTGACCGGGCCGCCGCCAGGGGTGCGGGAAGAGGCTGCGGTCCGCGGAGGAGGGGGAAGGGAGGGAAGCGCCCGGCCGCAGGTTCCGTGCCCTGCTGATCGCGGCCCTCTGTCCCGTCTTCTTGGTCCGCAGCGGGCTCTGCAGGCCGCGCTGCGCGCCGCCCGGCTCCAGCACCAGGAGCTCTTCCGGCTGCGCGGGATCAAGGCGCAGGTAGCGCTGCGGCTGGCGGAGCTGGCCCGGAGGCGCGAGCGGCGCCGGCTACAGCGGCTGGCGGAGGCGGACAAGCCCCGCCGGCTGGGGCGGCTCAAGTAAGAACCGGGCCAGGATGTGCTTCTGATGTCTGCACTCGGGGAGGTGAGGGAGGGGCGCCCATGGCTACTCTTTCCGGAGTCTGACCCTGGGTGCCCGTGATCCCCGCTCACAGGTACCAGGACCCTGACATCGATGTGCAGCTTAGCTCCGAGTTGTCCGGATCGCTCAGGACGCTGAAGGTGCCTGGCGTTGGGGAGCCGCGGTGGGGATGCCCCGTGCCCAGTGATGACTGTTATCCTTGCTCCCCGTGCCCCCCGGGGCTGTGGGCGACACCTTGGCTGCCCTTGGGCTGGGCCGGCTGGGCCGTGCCTGGGGGCTGAGGGCACGAGGCATGGGGGGGCACCTGGGGGGTGGGCTGCCACCCTCAGAAGTCCTACTCTCCATCTCACCCAGTCCTGGTTGGGGTCTTCCTCAGACTCTGATCGTGCCTCCATTCCTTCTGCCCTGGCCTTTCCAGTTCCCCAGTAGTTCTGCCCACCGCGGGTCAACCCACATGAACAGAACGACCGGGACAGGGCTGCAAGCTTGGGCAGATTGAGCCCCTGGCCCCCTAGAGGCCGTGCTGGGAGGATGGGACTCCTGCTGGGCTCCACAGTGGCGTGGGGCCCTGGGCTTGTGCCCCGCCTGCTGAGCTTCTGTCTGTCCCACAGCCCGAGGGCAACATCCTGCGAGATCGGTTCAAGAGCTTCCAGAGGAGGAACATGATCGAGCCTCGAGAGCGAGCCAAGTGAGGGGGCGGGCATGGGCGGGCGGGGTGTGCGCCCGGGGCGTGCGCCTGTCCCGTGGTCCCCTTAACCCTCTCCTTTCCATAGGTTCAAGCGCAAGTATAAAGTGAAGCTGGTGGAGAAACGGGCCTTCCGGGAGATCCAGTGAGTGGCCCAACTTGCCTGACCCCAAAGACGCCCTTCCTCTAGGGTCTGCGGGCCCCAAAGGAAAGTGAGGGGCCGGAAGCAGCCTGCACTCATCTGCTCCAACTCCTGTCTCCAGGTTGTAGCAGCTGGGATGCTGCATCCGGGACCCTTGTGTTTGAAGGATGCTGGAGCCCTGCCGTGGACCAGTGAGGGGTGCTGGCCCCGCCCCTCAGTAAAGCTCTGTGACCAGCTCCTAAGCTTCCTGTGCTTCCTTCACCCCCACTGCCAGTTTAGCTTTTTTTGGTCTGACACTGGGATTCGAACTTTTTTTTTTTGGCCAGTCCTGGGACTTGAACTCAAGGCCTAGGCGCTGTTCCCTGAGCCTCTCTGTGCTCAAGGCTAATGCTCTACCCCTTGAGCCATAGTACCACTTCTGTTAATATGGTACTAAGGAATCAAACCCAGGGATTCATGCACGCACGCACTCTTCCACTAAGCCACATTCCCAGCCTGGGATTCAAACTTTTTTTTTTGTCGGTCGTGGGGCTTGAACTCTAGACCTGGGCGTTCTCTCTCAGCTCTTCAGCTCAAGGGGAGCATTCTACTTCTTGAACCACAGCGCCACTTCCGGTTTTCTAGTGGTTTATTGGAGACAAGAGTCTCGCGGACTTTCTTTACCCGGGCTGCCTTTGAACTGTGATCCTCAGATCTCAGCCTCCTGAGTAGCTAGGATGACAGGCGTGAGCCACGGGCGCCCGGCTCTGGGATTCAAACGCTTGATCTGACACTTTTCACTCATTTTGGCTGACATTCTACCACCTGAGCTACACCAGCATAACTTGTTTCCGTTGGGCCTTGTGTGTGTGTGTGTGTGTGATTGGTTGTGGGGCTTGAACTCAGGGCCCTGGCGCAGTGTTCTGGAAGAGCGAGGGAGGCATGCCGGTGATCCCCGGCAGGGTCAGGTGGGCTGCAGGCACTGGTGCGGCTGACCGTCCCGCAGTTTGGGAGCCGCCATGGTGGGCCCGGGGTCCCGGGACTCCACTGCAGGAAGAGCTTCCTAGGGGTGGGGG